GAATAAAATTAGTCGGTGTGACAACTCCCTTGCAGCCATTAACATAATCTTTATCAATGTAGGATGATTCGTCGTGCCCAAGGTTTAAAGTTGGTCGTTCAGACTTTGTTGTACTCGCTGAAGCCGATTGGAAACACTGTTCTGATAGCAGCTATTTTCTTCGTTATGTTTGCAATACTTGGAGTACAGGTAAGTTCTTTCTTTTTTTAATTTTCCCTACCTGTTGATACCTGATTAAACTCTAATTTAACGTTTAGGGGGCATTTTCTACAAAGTTCAACAGTAATTTACTGCAACCATTTTTCACAGAAAAGTACACCATGTCTCTACTTGTAGGCTTTAAATCTATGTGCAATGTGAATACAGTCGAACCTCCAATGACGGTCACCTCTGTACAACTTCTTTTTATCCAGGGGGACAGTCCATACATTGAATCTTGTTTAAACCTCTTTACAACGGCATAAAGCTATGTGGATGATCTTTTTTGCTATATTGAAACTATTTATTTGTATACATTGTTGTCATTGTTGTTTTGTGTCCCTAATTAGCGTCAGCTAAATACATCGACACATGAATAAAGTTCATCATCATCATACCATTTACACATTTTTGTTAGTTTAAACACTCTCAAAACAGTTTAGAATTAATGAAAAAGACCTCTCTATGACGAACATTATTGAGCACTTTAGTGACTTTTGTTGAGGACTAACTAGCATTTTAGTGAGAAAAATGGAGCCTTAAGGTGGAGCATTTTAGTGGAAAAACAACAGCACAATGTACAAAGGCCTAGACGGAGAGCATATTCCGCCTTGTTACAGTCATACAGATACTTAAGCGCTTAAATGTTTGGGACAGGGACAGGGCATCAAATTTCGTATGTGGTTACAGCGATATTCTTAAAGATTTCAGACAAAATACCCTTTCACTGCCTCCCTAAACTAATTCGTGAGATAAATATATTCGAGAACAATAAACTTTAACAGCTGTCTAAGTATGATGGTCCTCTTGCTATGCTACCGAGTGTCAGTAACGTACCGTTACTTCATAATACCAAACAAAGCCTATCTTGAGTTCGCGATCTTTTACGCCCCATGAGGATAGAACAGTGTTAGCAAAATCAGAATATACTGAGGATAATTTGCCTTTTGTTGACATTAAGTAATGGTCCAGATAAGAAGGAAAGGACCAAAACGCAGTGAACACGTCGGAATGCAAAAAGGTGCTCACTTTACTATTGTCTCTACTAAGGTTCTGATTGGTTTAAACATCAAATTTTACGAAATCTTCGCAACGCAGCATGTATATTAATCCCTTTTTTTCTATCCAACTTCCTTATAACAAAATCTCGTCTGAGTCTAAGTAACACAGAAATCGTATGTGCGGATCATGTAAAATTGTGAACATTTCTTGGCCATTGTTTGCAACTCTTGTGATTGGTCGAAATGTTTTAACACAAAAGTACACCTTTTAAAAGTGGAGTTTAAATACATTTTCTTTCGTAAACAGCCTTTTTGTAGATTTATGCATTCTCTGCGTAAAAATGAAAACATTTCTATGTGAGGAAAGCGTATTGCGCCACAAAAAAAGAAATTGCTTCCCTTCTTACCTGGATCATTACTTAAATTGTAACTGGTTCAACCTTTCAGATTTTCAAGGGCACCTTTCATTTTTGTGAAGGAAACGGCCGCGTTAAAAACAAGAAAGAATGTTTGGAGAATAGTAAAGGTCACTGGGAAAACCATATGTACAATTTTGACAACTTACCTCAGGTAAATCAGAATTCTTTAGGTTTGATATAATTGTTTAATTTGAACGAAATTTTGATTAGCGGTAGCGTTCCTAATACTTTTAAAGGGTGGTCTATGCTGTGGTATTTCTTTAAGTCAACTATCTGTAAAGGGTATATGCACATTATGTATACCTGTCTTGCTCTGTCTTTGGGTTCGACCTATTCATGTACTTTGCAATAGGAATGATCATGCCATTCCTCTTTTTATTGATGCAAATATCCTGCCAATTTTCCTTCACTATTTTACGTCCGTATCTTACCTAATGCATGATATTCATATTAATACTTCGCCCTCACAAATCGTGAATTTCTTCCAGAAGACATCATCTATTCATGCTTAAAACACAAGATCATCCTTCAAAAATAATATGTACATCAAAAAAAAAAAAAAAAAAAAAAAAAATCTTGAAAAACCTAGACAAACCGTCCTAATATTTGGCGCTAATTATAAATTATGGAATGAGATACCAGGTAGAATGAAAGATGTGTTTAAAAGAAAATTAATCTATGATTAACCACGACAGACTGGATTACCTTGATGCAACTATGATAACGCGAGAAATAAAATCGCGAAATCCTAAACCTTAGCTTTTCCACAACTTGCATTAAACACATCTGTCTTTCTTGCTTTTGACTTTATTACACATATCCTTTCTTTTCTTTTCTCCTTCCATTTTAATTATTCAGATTAATTATTATCAGTGAAATCGGTTTCCAATGGCGCATTAATTTGGCACGCTACGACTAGCGTTTTGGCTAACTGCGTGACAAGAAATTGTATAAGGAACGCTTAGGTAACGAATGTCGACTGTAACGTAACTATACAAATAACTTAATTAAAAATAAGATCGATACCTGTTCTGATGTAGAACACATATATAATAAGTCGTGCTGAAGTTACCTTCCATATCGATAAGAGTTTTCTAGGTCAGCAACTGACTTCGGGAATAAAGGATATGGAAATATAATTTGCAAATTCAATTAAAAATTTATCATATTTTTTCACTATCATTCCCAGGCTCTTATTTCATTATTTGTGTTCTCCACAAGTGACGGATGGGTGGAAATTATGCACAATGGAATTGATGCTGTGAGAGTCGATCAACAGGTTGGTGTCTTTCCTTGTGGTTTTTAAACGAAAATGTCGAACGGAGATTTTTTTTTCTAAGTTGTCAAGATATATCATGTTTTCCTGTTGCTTAAGACTGAGGCATTAAAGGCATTCTCGTTATAGCTCAGGAGTTGATTCAGTTCAGCATTAAGAGCACCTTAACTAGCAGCTTTTGCACTCTCGAAATTGAGCATTAACTTTTTACTTCAATCTTTTCTTTGATAGCCTGTAAAGAACTACGCTGAATGGCGACTTGGGTATTTCATTCCTTTTCTTATGCTGGGTGGCTTCCTTGTGCTAAATATGATCGTGGGTGTGGTAGTAGAAAATTTTCAACGCTGTCGAGAAAGACTCGAGGACGAAGAAAAGCAGAGAAGACGAAGAAAGATGCTGGACAAAGCAAGAAGCAAGAATCAACAAGGTGGATATTACGTACCTTCCTTTTGCGCTTGTAGTGCTGCACCTATAATTTCATAATTATGCTATTTGGTCTGTCTGTAAGTCAGATTTATTTCATCTGCCAGAAGGCGAGTCTACAGAAGCTTAGTATGTATGCACGTTGCACCATATCGCAAGATAAAACCTAGGAGGGTTTTTTGTAACACTGTGTACAAACATTCTTTCTCTTTTTCTAATAATGCCTGATTTCATCAGCATAGTATATTTATTTACACTCACCAGAAAGTCAAATTATAATTGCCTTAAGGACAGCAAGCAACTACTTAACGAACCCGCAATCGAAAAAAAGAAAAAGAAAAACAACAATAACAACAAAAACAAATAGAAAAGAAATTAAAGAACTCTTATTAATTACATCTTCATGTTTTTCTTCCAGAGGTGGACCGAACGTATTACCAATCGTATAGCAAATGGCGGCGGCGTGTTCATGACATGTGCCTTCACATGTCTTGGGACGTCGTTATTGCCATGGTGATTTGCCTGAATGTATATCTGCATGTCTTTGGAGCATTATCAGATGTCACAGGTAATGAGGAGGAATACAAAATTGAGGCTAAAACTTCATTCCTGAGTCCATTACGATTCATGTTTTAGTTTCGGCGCGTGTGATAAATGTTAGCTAATTTTTTGTTAGTCAATAGGGGTTTTAGGAAACTTGGTAGCCGATTTAATTCATGCTATTATTTTTCCCCTTTACTTAATACTCACCCAAACTTTTTCACTTCGTTATCAGCTTTTTTAGCTTGTTTTTTTTTGGCACGCTTCATTCCCCATAAACCTCCCACAATATGAGGTTGAACTTTTCAATACGTAATGTAGGAAGGAAGTGGCACGAAATTGGTCCTGGAATTCAAATGAACAATAGATTATTTGATTAACTTTTGCAGACTTTTGTTTTATTCGTCGAGACTTCAAATTACCTTTTCACCGGCATTTTTGTGCTGGAGGAGGTGTTCAAGTTCATTGCTTTTGGATTCGTTCGTTATTTCAAAGACGGGTAAGTCGTTGGTTGCGCTAACTTTGGTAGACATTTCCGCGTTTGATTAAGACCAGTAAGTGAATATCTATCAACGCAGCTGAAAAAAACGCCTTAAAGTAAGGAAACTTACCAAGTTTAAAGTTGATACGTCCAAAGCAAGCAGACATTTGACTGTTTGGTGGGGGGTTAAGTTAGTGCCCCCATCATAAAAACGTCTGTGAATTTCACGACTTTGTGGAACCATGTGTTCGTTAGGTTTCAATAAATCACTTTCAAAAGTGACTGTTCCAGTCAAGTGCCTATTAACTTCAGAACAACTGAGGCTGTTTATATATATCCCATGGAAGGTCGTGGGCTCAATTCCCATCTTGAACTCAGAATATTTTTCTGAGTTTTTCTGTCCACATAATTATATCATTCTGTTTGCCAGAATTTGAATTTTGGATTTGTTTGCCCATAAATTTCACATCAGCAAAAACAACAATATTTATAAGGGAAGAACAAAAGCCTGAACGAATGAGCGCAATGATGTTCGCCCTGCAATGCTAATGACCCATCGCAAGATTCTATTCTTTTTCAGAGCATACATTAGGAGAAAAAACCGGAATGCACTGAATTAATGTGAGATAAATGCTTGTCTTTTGATTGAAAATGAAACGAAGACTGATAATGTGATTCTTGTAGTTAGATATGTTCCCCGGCCGCGAGCGAACAGCTTCCTTGTTCTCAGTGGTCATTTCAACAAATGATTGTCTGAAGCAGTAGCTTTATTTACAGATTTATCATCAGATTCAATAAAAGTAAATCATTGCACGATCGTGTTGTAAGAGAACGCCAAAAGTACTGCGAACTGACACAATATTGTATGAACTTATTTGTAGGTGGAATCTGGTTGATCTAGTGATCGTCATTCTCTCTTTGGCTGGAATAATCATCGAGTCACTAAGCTCTTCTAATAAACTCTTGATAAATCCAACTGTTGCAAGATCATTGAGAGTATTACGTATTATCAGAGGTTTGTAGATAAAGGTTATAACTCAGTATATAGTATCAGTAGTGTCCGTCAGGAAGGAATTAGTCTGTGAACAGGCTACCTAGTAGGGTAAAGGAGGAGAGGGGAGGGGAGGGAAAGAGATCGAGCAAGCGCAAAAAAGGGGGGGAAGAAGGGGTGAAGCGCGTAGACAAAGACCTTAAGCTCTGTCGTAATAGACGGCGTAATCTAAATTTCTACTGAAACAGTTTGCTACCACAGATTTTCGCATCCAGGGACTACGTGGGCAAATTTCCATCAAAAATTAAGGTTTTTAGAAAACACTGGTTAAGCTATTAATGATCTTGCGTATTGAACTTGTGGTGTATGTTATCAATTATGATAACCACTTTTATTTGGTTAACACTCAGTAACTCATCCCGGGGGGGGGTACTCCCTTATTTAGGCTATATGGGTATGTTCGGCGCCAACGGGTATGGTTTTCAGCCGTTTTTTTCTGAAATAGGGTACCAGTTTTGACCATTTTGGTCTTAAATACGGTATGGTTTGTGCACTCTATTCTTGAATTGGGTATATTTTTTAAAAGAACCTACTTCTTCATCATTAGGCGATAAATCCCTAAGGAGACCTATTATTTCAGGTCTGAAATAGGGTAGGGAAAATCATAGATTATGGTCTGAAATAGGCTTAGGGTTTCAGGAAACGTGCCGCACACACCCACCCAATTTTTCTGGAAGTGCCCTCCCCCCGGGTGACTCGTTAACGCAATTTACTGACATAATGTCGATTGAAAATGGTTTAAAAATATTTACAGGAACAACACTCTTTTCATCGCCTACTGAAATCTCTGTACATGTTTTCTTTTAGTGCTGAAGCTCGTGAAGTTAGCTAAAGGGGTTCGTTCACTGTTGGACACTCTCTTTGAAGCTCTTCCGCAGGTTTGTTTTTCACTGACTGCTTTGTTTTAAGTTAAAACTATTATTATTTTTGTAATTTATTTTTTAAAAAAATCGCAAAATCACAGAGCATTGTAGAATTCATTATCTTGCTAAACAAATATTTATGCTTTTTTTTTTATAAATTCAGGTTTCAAACCTTGGACTGCTATTCCTACTTTTGTTTTTTTTCTACTCCTGCCTGGGTATTCAGTTATTTGGCACTCTTGGTAAGTTCTCATCACGTGGTAGCCAGAAAATGTTAAGCATACCCATACCAGCTAATTAAAGGGCAAGGGACTTAATCAAGGGACAGTCTTGATATGGTGTATCATAGATATGAATTTCCTTAAGAAAGATCACAGGCCCTTAAAGTTATGTTGCTCCATTTATTCTATAGAGTGTTTTCACTCACGTGGCCAGCATCTATGCAATTTATTGGAACAAAAGAAAGCGTTTGCATAAGAAAAGAGTTCAACTCCCACAGGACTGGTTTGGGACACCAACATGGCCGCCGTTTCATTGTTTTGTGACACCAACATGGCCGCCGTGACGTCATGTGAAAACACTCCATTAGTTCATTGAGAGACGCGCATAGGGAAGTCCGAGAATACATACCGTGATTATTACCACAATAAAGTAAAGCTCTGTTGCTTTTATAGAATGATCACCATTTTCAAATTGAATTCGATAGGTATGTATGTGTGTATGTAAGTTAACTGCCTAATCTGGTCATTTGTCTCAGAGTGTTCTCCGTCGCAGCCCTGCCAGGGCCTTGGTCCGCATGCGCATTTCAGAGAATTTGGCACGGCTATGCTGACATTATTTAGAATAGCAACAGGGGACAACTGGAATGGTATACTAGAGGTTAGTAAAATATAAAAAGAACATAGAAATACTGTGGGACCGTCATCTGGACAATCTTTTAAAATAATAGTAATCCTCCCATACTTACAATTATGTTACGGCTTAAGTTAACTTGTCAAACGCCTTCGATGGGGCCTTTTTCAGCGCTTACATACCTATATGCAGAAACGAAAACCGAAACAAATTCGTATCAGTAAGGAAAATGAATTACATTTTTGCTTTTTCCTTTATATAAACATAATATGAGCAGTTTGATTGGACTTGGTTGATTAAATTTAATGTAACAAATTAACAGTCATCCTGAAATAATGGTTTGCTCAATTGGTTAGAGTAGTAGGTCCGGGCTTGATTGCCGGCCAGACGAACACATAGGGTCTTGAATAATTAACCGAAAAGGAATCGTTACTTTTGCTGTGACATCTGCCAATGGTAATACCTTCACATCCTGGCCTCTCGAATAACGTTGAAAAACCCTTGCCACAACACTTTCTTTGACGTCACATCTCGTTAAACGAAAAGAAACTGCTAGGGACATAACAATTCCTGGCATGGTGCACGTGACCATCCCTTTCATGGGTTGTGGGCATGGGTGGGCAAGGCACATCGCAGGAGAGCTATGGGTCCTATTCGTGTTCATTGCAATTAAGCAGGTGTGTCCCCAGTAAAGCTGGGGAATGAATACAGTAAAAACCTACGTGTAAGAACCTACATCTTTGTAAGTGCGGCAAATAAGGTTGTTATATTTTGGGGCAATGTTTGGCAATTTAGGCTAAGTAGGTTTTTAATTTCTATAAAGGAGACTAGGTTGTTGACTACCAGAAACATAAAGAAACTTGACTTTGGTCTTTATATATATACAGTATTTATTCACAACTTTACCTTGCAAACCTCCTTTATTCAAGGTCCATGAAGCCAATTATAGTACTTCATGTAAACCTGTTTTTGTTGTTGGAATTTCAGTAGTACTTTCTTTTGTACTTACCGTTTGGTAGAGTATTTTCTTGTTATATCAATTTAGAATCTCGAAGCCAAACTTCTGGTTAAAATGTCATAATTCAACTCTAACCCGCATATAAGAAACTGTCTGATTTTGCTTGGCTAAACAGGTTACTAATACATATTTTCGGGCACTAAAGTCAGTGACAAATTTCTACCAATAGTTTCTTAAACCACTTGGTTCTTACACGGGTTTTTGCTGCAATTACTTTTAAAATAATTGTAAATAATGCCGGAGTAGCTCATGTTTAATAATATCATTGACTTTTCTTCCCAGGACACACTGAGCTCCAAATGCTCTTCTGAAGCTGAATGCGATAAATACTGTTGCAAGAGCAAATACACAGCACCTCTGTTCTTCGTTACGTTTGTACTGGCAGCTCAGTTTGTGTTAGTTAATGTTGTCATTGCTGTACTTATGAAGCACTTGAAAGAATCTAAAGAAAAAATTGCAGCAAACATGGCCGCCAAAGACTTGGAGAAGAAACTCAAATTATTGACTTTATCGGCAAAGAATTTCATCAAAGGAAAAGCAAGGAAAAATGACTTGCCCTCAATTTCAAGACGACGTTCCATAGTGCAGCTGGGTTTAGGTGGAATAGAACTTGCTCAGTTGAAATATTGTGAGCCGGAAAATACAATAGACAAATCGTTTATGACAGAATTTTCTAGAGCTGATGCAATTTTCCAAGAATATATGCGTTTAAATGCTAATCTTCAAAAGGCTAAGATGAAGATCGTCCGTACCTCTTCTCACAATACTGTTGAAGTAAACACGCCGTCTACTGAGACGCACTCTGTGCAAAAAAGGCGTAATAGCGTGGGTGGGGTAAGGGAACTTCATAAGATCTCTACTCATTTAAGTTCATTTACTGTATATAAGTCAGGCGCCAAACTGTGAATCACAAATGGATTTTCAAAAGGAGAACATTCAGAAGATGTTTAATATGTTCCTCTATACTATCCCTTATCCCTATATTCCTTATTTGCCCTTTTTTGTGTTTCCTGGTGTTAAAAAATCAAAGAAATAAAAGGATTGAAGTGGCCTTTAGTTAATGTTACAGCTGAACTGTTATTGATTAAACTGTGGCCCTTGGGTTTAGACCTGCACCGAGAGAAAATGCCAAGCTAAGTAGTCCTTAGCATTTCATAACTTATTGACCCATAGAACTTACCTCGGCAACTGTCATGGGTAATTCATTTGTTCTTTTGTGAATCCATAGAAATTTCCCCAAAGCAATTTCACCTTGGGGAAATCGATCACACACAAAACGTTGCCTCACCGTGGGCAAGAGCCATTTGCCCATGGGTAAAACGGCCACTGTAACCCCACCTATTGTTAAGAACCCAAAGTGGCTCCGTCAATCACAAGATTAGAAAGTGAAATATAAGTAACATTAAAAATCGCTTGTCGCTTGCCTTCGTGCTGTGTGGAAAATATTTTTAATATGTTAAATAGAATAGATTCAAAAGCCCCTTTTAAGAGGCCCTGCGCCTAAGAAACGACCGATGATTTCCGGCTAAAAAATAAAATCGGCCGATTTTTATCTCCCAAGTAGAGGTTACCGAATACTATTCAAAAATGAATTTCTTTTGTTTCAGTTTCGCTTTAAACCAAAAATATCGAGCCGCAAACTTTTTCCGTCTGATAGCAGCAAAATCAGGCCTAAAATAAGCCCTCACAAAAAACGGTTCAGAAATCACTATCGCGACGCAAAACAACGAGAAAACCACACAGTGATGAAGAAAAAGGCCTTTTGATGCAATATCATTCGATAAACATCGAAAAACTGCCGAAGGGAATAAAAAATAAATTTTCAAATATTGCATATTAAATTAGATGGAGCGTTGGAGTTGATTTTAAAATAATAATTTCTCAAAAGTCCAACGCTGCTGAAAGCAATCACAGTGATGAATCAGACATTGGAGGGATATACATCACGTTTTCGGAAAAACATTTTTCGGCCAAAGTATACTGACGTTGTAAAAACCGTTCAAAGTTACCGTATTTACCGTTAAGTTGCAACTTCGGCGAAACAGGATAGCGTGGTAAACGCCGCTTTAAGCCTTGCTAGGTGCTCAAAACCATCCTAAATAGAAGTATATA